TATAGTTGCATAACATAAGAGAGATTACATAATAAATAACTCTAACAATTTATATAAACATTAATAATATTAATAATAAATTACACTTTTGTTTTCGTTAGTCAACTATTCAATTTTAAGACAATTATTAAAATAATATTTTTTATTCACTTAAAATTTAAGTAAACAATTTATAAAGTATATTTGTCACCATTTACATATATTTTATTTCTTTTGTATATGAGATTTTTTTTGTTAATTTTCACATTAAAACATATTTTTCCTTTTCCCCATCAACAAGTATTCAGAAAACATATATTTTTTATTATAATTAACTTATAAAATTAGTGGGAACATAATAGCGGTCTATCAGACCGACATTGTGGTTAGTGTGATTTTTTGGATGTGGTGGTCTAAAGGTTAAGATGCTTTTACTGAATTATCTAATTCGCAAAGAACAGAATATAGAGCAGCTTGGAAAAATAGAATTATATAATAGTTTTATGCAATTTAACATTTATCTTTTTAGGTAACAATAAAGATGACTCAAAGGGTTTTAAAAACACATATCTTCAGTAAAACAAAATCTTACATAATCCCCAATGTATAAATCCATTACACAATTAATAAAGACATTCTTTCATTTGTTTTCCGGAACAAGTAAAAGATTTAATTCTAAAAATATGCATTCGTAAATTTAATCGCTCAATCTGCTTTCATCTCTAAGAATCTTTAAAATGTATTCTAATTATCTTATTTTACTTATTTAAATAAATCATTTTAATTATTAATTTAATTTTAATTATTTAAATAAATCATTTTATTATGTTACAAATGCATATTTCATTCCCTCGAAAGATAGAGAAGTATTCACTTCAAAATAAGCAATTCAAAATATACCAATCGATTATTTTTCATTATTCATCGAAATTTTACGTACTGTACAGTTTGTTCTATTATAGATTGACTACAATCGTAAATATATATAATAAATTATGAAATAATACTTCATTTCAGTTTCGTAAAAAAACTTCATATTATTTCTTTGATATTTTCAATTATCTTAATAAACGGTTATCTTCGTTTTTTATTATAATGCTAAATTGTCAGTAGCACAAAGAATGATTCAGACATCATATGCATTTTGACTGGACTTCTTTTTTTTTACAAAGACACTATAAAAAATTGAGTTTTTCGAGTCGCTTCTATATAGGTAGGTATTAACTCCAATTTTATTTTCACTTGTCATCGGAGAATTAATAGTCTGCTCGTGACATCGCAAAATAGTTTGATTCAATGCTGCTTAAGTAATATCGATCTAACGGGGTGGACGATGAAACTCGCGATTTTGCCATTTAAAATCGGGCGATCGTCGTTACGCCGGCGAGCAAAGCGAGCAGTGCTTCAAAACTGCAACGGTAATGCAATTCTCGCGATTACGACACGAGAAGGGGCGCGCGTTCAGCGCACTGCCATTAATTACGCATTATGTAAAGGAGATCGCGCGCCGCGCGAGTATCGCTGCCGTAATACACGCGCGCGGTTAGATTTCCGGGAAATCGTTGCCGATTCCGCGATCGTCTTTTCCAGAAAGGAACGGTATCTCACGTCAAACTTCGTTACACACACGCGGCGCGGCTGTGCTATTCGAGGCATATCGCTTTCCCTCATCCGCAAATATTAGAAGCGAAATCAGATTTAATTAACGCATTTTGACTCGAAACATCAATAATTTTTATTATTCGTAGACGATGCAAAATTAATGGGCTAAAATTTCGAATAAGAACAAGAAGCTTATTTTTACGATTGCATATGAAGTCTACACTGTCACCAGTTAATTAACACTAATAAATGACCGGTTAGCTTTAATTAATAATCGATGCGTATTACTAGTAAATGACCAGCGTACAAGTTTCCTTTTAAAGAGAAAAGAATACATATTTTTAAATGAATATACATATTTAGTTAATTAAATACTTCTTTTACGTATTTTGCTTACAGTAAATTTCTATTAAAGATACATTCATTAAAATAAAATACATATTTCCCTTTTTATTTAATATAAGGAAGGTATTTACATTTTCAAGTAAAAATTTATTCAAATCTGTATGAAGATTAAATCTAAAATATTATTCATAAAAAAGTATATCAATTAATTTGCAATTTATTATTTAAAGTTTTATTATTTTAATATTTTTGTTAAGCAGCTATTGGTGATTTAGCGACTGGTACAGAGAACCTAAATAAGAACTACGACAACGTAATTAAAATAAAAAATTGATTCGCAAAAATTTTTTGCAGCGATATATAAACCTTTCAACCTAATAAATCGATCAATATTATTTTTTTTTTATAACAGACAAGTATCACTCTTTTAAAATTTATCAAAGCTATACGATGGAAACAGTTAAGCGTATGTAGCTAAACGATACCTAAAACATGACATCAAAACTCACACGCCTTAAGCAGAGATATTCGCGACAGGTTACGAACAAATGAAGAAAAAAAAAACATTGTCGAGCATTGCCGCGGTGATTCACCAAACGCAATCGCGAACGGTTAGGTTACACAAAGATGCCTCGCGGATGGAATTTGGGCGTGTTGTACGTAACAAGTCGGGTGGATTCGCGCAGAGATCTTTTACCCTCGCCCTCGAAAAAGTATAAAAACGGACGAGAAAAAATGCAATTTTCCTCCGCCCCCTTGGCCACGAAATTACCCCGGCTCGCACCGTTATCGTCCGGATCGTAAAGCGAACGCCCTCCTTCCGCTGCTTTCGAATCGTAATTCGCCTCTCTCGTCACGATTACAGTTAACCCTCTACGCACATTCCGCGAGCGAATTTTATAGCTGGCCCTTCTCGCTTCTTCGAGATACGTGCATCGGCGTTGAGAAATTTGCGAACCGCGCACAATGCAGTTTAAACGGAGAGAAGAACTTCCTCGAGTTTATATTATATTATCGGATTCCAACGTCGTATATCACGTTTCGTAATATTTTAGTGTAATAATGCCGCAAAAAAACTCGGAATACTCTCTTAAATAACAACAAAAAGATTTGCTTTCAAATACTACGTAGGGTGTACCAAAACTTCAAAATAGAAATAAAGCCTAGGGAATTGCTAAAAAGTTATCGTACTTTTCGTAATGTTTTAGTAATAAACGTCGCAATTCAGAATTCTTATTATTATTAAATTGTATAACTACGAAAAGATTCAATTTTTATGCGAGTGCATTAAATCTTTAAGATAAAAATAGTCTTAGGAATTATTAGAAACAAAGGAGACTATTCGTACATTTTATATTGGCAAGTAAAAGTGAAGAAGAAAGAGCTTTTCTTATTTACGCAAGCGTGCGCAAATTTTTAGAAGACTGATTCAACAATTCGACCTGCCCGATTAGCACATAACACCAATTGCTTTGACTTAGGCTAGCGCTACTCTGGCTTTTATCACAATGCCACGTAAATTAAGCTTAGAAGAGTGTGTGTGTGCGTGCGTGCGCGCGCGTTACAAAGAACAAACTCAATCTTTCGTAACACTCGTTTGCTCGTTTAATTTGCTATCCGGCGCATGTAATCAGTCGATTGCACTTTACACGTGTATCAATAAGACACGTCGATATCATAGAGCCGATGAAGCGTAACCGTTACGGCATTGAACGTGTCAACTAAATTCTCTGGCTGCATTACGTATTAAGTAATACAGCTGTAAAACTATAATCTATCCGGAAAGAGATAGCGAGAGAGGTCGCCAACTCGTGACCATAAGTAAGCCAAGTCTTGTTGCTGCAACCGGCAGTGTTTCAAATCAACCGGTCGAGAAAGCGAATAACGTATTGCGACTCTGACGCGCGGGAGGAAGGGGGGGACTCTACTCTCTCGCGAGTTTGCGACAATCGCATCGAAACGAGAGAGAGAAAAAGAGAGAAAGGAAAGGAGGAGTAGAGGAAGATGAAGAAGAGAGACGATCGTCCGCGCCCCGAGGGTCATCGACATCGTAGGAACGCGAGCTGACCGGCGCTCGCGCTCATTTTCTTTTCCCGGTCCTTTTCTTTCTCCTTTTCCCTTCGCCACGCATCGAGTTGCCCATCCGTCCCGCCGTCCCCTTTATCGCTAATTTCACGAGAATTGCCCGGTCGACCGGACGCGAACGTCGCGCGCGTCGCCCAGTCAATGTGCTCTCGCGTGGATAAGCTTCTTGCCCACGGCCACGGAAAATGACGAAGTGCCCTCTAATCGCGCGAAAAGCCACGTGTCAATATCGTTCAAACACGATCGCAATCGTCTTGTTGGTGCAACACCGCCATTGAAAATTCCGCGGCTGTTAACTCTTTAACGTGCCAATCCATCGATCGGATCTTACGCGTCTGTCATTCTAGAAATTGTCGTCTAATTGTAAGTTGCATGGTGGAGAAGCTATACAAATAACGAGTTATATCAAGAAAATAAAATAGTAAAAATAACCGTAATTGTAATTTTCACAGATTGGCAATTTAATGTCTCATACAACGCCTTTTCAGAAACAAAATTATTTTGAAGAGTAATTTTTCCTAAACTTTTAATTACCTAAATAAGATATAATTATCAAATAAAAATAAAATTTAAATGATACATTTATTATAATGAACTAATAAAGTCAAACAAATTAAATAAAATCGCTATATAGTCATTAAAACTATCTTGAATAACACAAGATCATTTCTAAAGTTCCCTAAATTTAAAAGTAGTTAAAAGTTTATTAAGCTAATTATCCCAAAATTTAAAGATAATTAAACGTTTAAGAAAAATCACTCAAAATAATTTTCTTTCTGAGGAGACTCTACGTATCAAAGTTGAGTATAAAACATCAAGTCGGCTGCCTGCGAAAAGATTGCAGTAACAATTATTTTTCTGCTTCTTGACTAATGTAAGAACAATTTTAATTAACGCTTTCAAAGACCGTATCACCTTTTGTAATAAGTTTTTTTTTCCGACAGCGCATGTGATCCATACTGTGCGCTGCATTGCGATAGACAGCCACGCTGAACCGTACGGTTTGACTTCGCGTCTCGATTTCGCAAGTTATGTCGCGACCTTCCGTCGTAACCTTGGTACTCACCTGTCAAGTACCTTGCACCAACACGCGTGCCTTACGGTAACGCGCTCCATTTCCCTACGCCCGAGAGAACGGTGGCGACCTTCGCATTTATCTTTATGAAGGCGGTATTTATATATATATATATGCCAATACACCGGAATGAGAACGAGCGATTAACAATGTGATTTGCAGCGCAATGCGCAAATCTGGAATTTCTGCAGAGGACACACAAATATTTTCTCCTTTTTTTTTTACACGCGAATGTTTGCCTTCTCGATTCCAAAGTAACGACAATGTTTGTATTGTGGAGTATTGCGAACTATATATCTGTATATACTTTTTTACTATTTCTGCGTACTAAACAAAAGTATATAAATTATATCGCATTGCTATGCGCCGTGTTTATTTGCACTGAAAGAAGGTGCTCATTGAATCAGTTTACAAACAAAAAAATCATAAATAAAAGAACAAAACGTTGGCATTGATGCGATTACATTATATTATAAAATCATTGACAGGAAAGTGTTCTAAAATGTAAAGAATGAAATCACGTAAGTTAAATCTAGTCTCTTTGAATAAAAGCTGCGCTTCGGAAACAAAAAAAAAGACCGGAGAAAGGAGGAGAAAGCACACATACGGATATCAGCATTGTCTACGTGGATTGCATTGTCTACGTCGGATAAACAGACAGTGCATAAAGTTCTATACTTAGGCTATCTACGCGTAGACGCCCACTGCGATATTCTCCTTTCATTTTGCGGCGCGTACGCACGCCGCCGCCGCCGCCGCCGCTGCCGCTGCCGCTGCCACGTTAATTATCGGTGCAACATTCAATCCGCAAGCGAGCCGTGGCAATGAGTCACTTTAAAGTAGAGGGAATTAGACAAGTTGGCACAGCCATTAGAAAGTGGCCGCGTGCTATAGTGCCGCTCATGAAAATATTTGTTGATCAGTCAGGTTGCCGGATATAAAGCAGCGCAACGTCAGCGCTACAAATCTGAATCATCATAGATTTCAATCAAAATCTATTCGAGCAGAGTTATAGAATAACGGAAGTATCGCGTTTCTCTATCACAGATTTCCCGATTAATTTAATTCTTGGCAGTACAGACTAAAAATTTTATCTCAGATTATTAAATATATATTTAAAGAAAATTTTATGAGAGATACACAGTTACACAAGTGTATTTAATTAAAAAAAAAAAAAAAAGAGAGTTTTAGTAAAATAGAAATGTAAGTAAAAAATCAAATTTTGTCTTTCATGCAATCCGATTAATTTAATTCTTGGCAATACAGACTAAAAATATTATCTCAGATTATTAAATATATATTTAAACATTTTATAAGAGATACACAGTTACACAAGTGTATTTAATAAAAAAAATAATAATAATAAAGAACTTTAGTAAAATAGAAATGTATAATAAGTGAAAAGCCAAATTTTGTCTTTCATTTTTATGCAATCTTCGTTAAGAAGAGATTTCATCCCAAATGTAAACTTAGGCCGGTATTCATAGTCTGATCTTATATTTAAGATCGTCTTTAAGTACGAAACACTTTACGGTCATTTCATTGGCTAGATAGAATTTTAAGACTCATAACCAGACCAGATTTAAGACGAACTTGAACAAAAAATCGGACTATGAATGCCAATCTTAGAGATTAAGAATTTGTATTGATTAAATAACTAGCTTTCACATGTGCACAAAATTCAAAGTTCGTCATAAAGTTTATTAAAATTTCATATTCGATATTTCTGATATCCTTATATAACGGATTTATAGTCTACATTTATGTTCCACTATAAAAGAGTTAGCAAGTTGAAGATAGAGAAAGCGAGAGTTCCGGGTATCTATCAATACTTTTTTCTGATCTCTTAAGGAAATAAAAACTTGACAGCGATCTCTTCCTCTTGTCATCAATTATATCACGGTAGAAAATATATTAAGATGTATGCGATTTATGATAAGACCAACAATTAATCTAACTGTTATTTAACTGTTCGAGAAAGAAAGAAGACCCCTGATATGCCAGGGTCTTATCATATTGTATACATTACCGTACGGTTCTATTGCGCTTGCAGATGTGATGCACATTCGCACACTACTCGTGACGTAAGCGATGACGATGTTTGTGCGATGCTTAATTTATTATTTATCGTGGAGCATTTGACCTTGTCTCAATATGATCTTCGCTTATCTAAATCTTATCTGCCAGTCTAAATTAATCTATCAAAATAATACCTCACCGACATATTTTATTAACACGTAAACATTAGAAACAGTTAAAACTTAATGAACTTAATGGAAAAAAAAACATTTTGCGCAATCATGTATTTCTAAGCATTTTGAGAGAGAAAAATCGCGTAGCCAGTTCTTAAAGATACCAATTGCTTAACACAATCAGCGAACATTCGCAGTTAACGAGTAACGTTATATAACAGACCATAAATAAGGCAGGAAAAAGTAATAAAGTCCACGTGAGTTTGTAATCGCTGAAACGTGCTAATCCGTAGTGCCACAGGAACATTGCAAAATGTATGTAGCAAGATCGCAATGTTTCTCGCGGCGGCGAGGCAAGTACACAGTGGAAGAAAGATATATATATATATGCGAAACTCACCCATCGCCGTCGAGAGTGATAGCGGTGTCGGCCAAAACTCGGAGAACAAGACCAACGGTCGCCCTGGCATGGCAATCGATACCGAGGAGGCAACTCTCCTCGGCGTCCTGCCTTCCCGTGCAGGAAACGACGACGAGATATCGCGTCCTTCCTGGATGCACCGACTCCAGTTTCACGGCCTGAAAGAAAGACACAAGGAAATCTCCAATTACTCAAGTCACAACTTTAAAGTTCGCAGATGGATATTTGAACGTCACTTAGGTACAAACAAAGAGACTATAAGAGACCAGTTTGTAAGCTTAAGCTGTTCGTCGACGCGCGCGAGTAATTTCAAACACAATATTCGAATTAAAATGTAATATGTATTATACGTGTGACATATATTTCTTCGAAATTGATTAACATTAGAACGAGAGGGCTATTTTTCTTCTATCTAATATTTAAATACGTTTTATCGAAATGTTGTCTTCAACGACGAGTTATATTTTTTTATTACTACATTTAGGTCCATTTTCATAATGTATGGTTACCTAAAGGTTAAAAAGAATCAAGAAGTTTATTGTTTAACGATGTTTGATTAGGATTTAACCATCAAGTTAACTTGATGCCAATTTAACTGATGTTTATGTAACCTTTAGTTTATTTGATTATAAGCTTATTAAAGTGTGTTTTAATTACTTTCCAGTTAACCTTTTTCGTTAACCATATATTATGAAAATGAGCCTTACCGATAAAATTTTTTTGCCGTAGCTAAATATGGTATTATATTTGTGAGGAGGTATATGCCTACGTGTCAGAAAATATATTAAATAATTTTAGAATGTTAAAAAGTCAGTGCTTAAATATGCAGAGTAAAAAAATGTAAACGTCTTTTCAATAAAAAATAATTCTTACAAATCAATAAATATAAAAAAATATATATATAGGTATATATTTCTCGGATGCAGCACTGTTTACTGAATCCTTGTATGATGCTACGAATACTGTCTTCCAGGGTTAACGACATTATAGGGAAGTAATGTTACACAACCAGCTCATTGGCTTCGCTTCCGTTCGACCGGCTACTTCCCGTTTGCATCAATATCGGGAGGATAGAAATATAGTACTACTTGCACTTTTCCATAAAAATAACATAGATATTATATAAACAATTGTATAATATTAAAATATGTGTACAGTGTTAGAATATTCACTATCCTATTATAGTATCTTATATATGTTCTAGAAATTTAATCAATCATATAATCGTCATATTGTTATTAAAACAAAAAATTGTTATAAAAAAATGAAGGACAGAAAACAAACTGTAATTAAGCTCACTATTAGATTATTTTTATCAAAATTTTTGCATAAATATAGTATCAAAAAATTCTAATAACTAACAAATAAAGATCTTAAAGGAAATGTTTTGTGACAATGTTTTCAATCATGTTATAATGTACAAAATACTATGTTATATTATGAAAACATAAAACTAAATATGTACAAAACATATCAATTCTTACTTGCATTATCTTTAAGGCAATGCTGGAAGGTAGAAATTACCGACACATTACAGTTTAGTAAATTTTTCTGAATTGGTTGAACGGAATTGAAAATCCTTTTACAGTGTTGAAATAGACATGAAATTGTGGTGTTAGAC